GCGTTGTGCTGCCGCTTCCCCCGGCGGTCTGGGCTCTGAAATTCCGCTTACGCCCGGCCCGGTGATTCGATACCCTGGTCGGTCCCTGCTCTCTTACCTAACTTAACCCGGGTGCCGGTGGGCACGGCAAGGTCGGTGAAAGACAGAGCGGCAGCCTGCTTCGTTCCTGACGCGTCGGTTTGGTCCCGGGTGCGATCGCGCTACTCGGGCTGAAGAAATCCACCGAACGCGCCTTGGGGCTGCTTGAAGTAAGCAGCGCAGGGTCCTCCCAGCCTGCTCTTCTGGAACGGCGGGGGCAACCTCCCCGTCAGACCTGGTTCATAGCAGGCGGCAGAAAGGGTGAACCAGGTTGTGGGGAAGCTGTTCTCGGCTGGGCGTATCTGAGACGAATGCGTTACAGCCCTATTTATGCATAGGGCCGCCCTTGCTGAATGGGTTGGAGCTGAAGCGTGTATTGATTATCTTGTATTTTTGCTTTTAGTAACGAATAATTTTGCTCTTAGGAATTGTGGAATGTGAGGGATGTGAAAGTTAAAACATAAGCAAGGCCTAAGAAGCCAGAAAGGTGGAAAAATAATTCTTAATTTACGCTTGAATCTGTAGGAGCACGGCTGGGTGGGAGCAGGAGGGGCCGCTTGCTGCCTAGCGGGTCGCTGTGTTTTTGGTGAACGCTGATTTGCATTATTAGTGGGTCTGTTGGTACCCCCCTTCTTCCCCCACCTCTGCAGCCTGCCACAGTGTGCAGCTTTCCTGCTCTGGATCCCCAGCAGACCCAGCAGTGAGTTTAGCCTGTAGTATCTTCACATAAGTACTTTTTGCAGTTCTGTGCTCTGGTACTTCTTCCCATCTCCGTGGTACCTCCATTTTGCTGATTGAGCAGAGATTTGAATTCTCCTATACACGCTATCTAGCAGCCTGTTCCTTGCTGATTGAGCAGAGATTTGAATTCTCCCATACATGCTATCTAGCAGCCTGTTCCCTCTGAATAAACCTAGAGAGTTGGAAGATTCCAGAGTGTTCTGCCAGAGCTCTTTGCTCTCCCTTGCTCAAAAGAAAAGGCTCCTTGAGATGCTGGGTTTCTTTAAAACATTCTCAGAATGGGGGGGGTTATTTGGCCTAACAACTAACTTCCTTTCAAAAGAAGGAGTATGGTTTGCTTGCTTGACACAGCAACTTTCTCTTCAGCTAGAGCCAAGCGCAGTGTTGTACTGAATTCGGTAATGAAACATGCGCAGACTGGGAAGAAACCTGAAAAGATGACTTATTCTCAACACAAGGAATGGTTTGTTACAGGCTCTTGACAATGGCGAAAAGAAAATAAAGAAGTCCCTCGTGTTGTGAAAGTCCCTTACATTCATGCCATCAGAAATATTAGGAGGCTTCTTTGTGCGTTGATTTTGGCGTTTAAAGGACAATTTAGGTTGGAAGGGACCTCTGAAGTTTCTCCAGTCAAATCCCTATTTAAAGCAGGGCTCATTTTGAAGATCGGTCAGGATGCTGTATTTTGTAATCCTTACTGGTATTTAAAAGCTCATGAAATCTTGACGAGCATGTTACCAGGTTATTGTGAATTGTAAATTTTCTTTATAGGAGTTAGAGTACAAAGATATTTGTAATCGTATGACTCATTTCTGGGGGGAACGTCTCATAAAAAATAATCAGCTCAACTTATGTTTGGGATATGCAAGTTGTGACAAAGCTCCGAAAGATTTTTAGGCTCGATACGGAATGTCTTGGGGAAGTTGGGAGTGGGAGAGAAGGGAAGAATAAGCAATGGTCAAAGCCATTTTAGACTAGGGTATATGTGCTGGTGCGGTCCAGCTTGTGAGAGTGCCCACTGAGTGTTTCCACTTTTGCTCAGCTGTCGTCTTAGGAAAAGTATGTAAGTAAATCTGTGTGCTACCCTGAGTTTTATTGACAACTTGAAAACAGACTTTCCAGGTTTTTTTGACACAGCTGCAATGGGTCCTGTTTACACTGCTAAAATAAATGTTTAAGGAGAGCTATCCTCTTAACGACAATTTTGTCTCTGGTTGTGGGTGGAAGGGAAATGAGACATCTAGAAAACCATGTTTTAACTGGTCTTGACACAAAATGAAGATCATCAGCTGGCACTTATGACGGGATTAAGACAAAGCTTGTTTAAATTCTGGTTAGTGGAGTACTGGCAGACCATAAAATAACTCACTGTTATCTTGGAGGTCTCTTGTGGTCACCACAAAAACACACAAAAAGATGTTTTTCCTTTTTTCTTGGCCTCTGCCAAAGAAACTTCTCTGTAAAGAGAAGTGCTCCTTCCCCTCTGGAGGTTTTAGCAGAGCTGAGAGCTTGCAGATCTGATTCCAGAGAAAATGATGCTCTTTAGCGAGGGGATGTTGCCACTAAAGTAGGTAGCCTAGCATAGAAACGCTGGGTTAGTTGGGTTAATTCACCAGTACAGCCTCTATATTGAAGCTTTTTTCTAACATTGTGCATTGTGATGGCTTTTTAGTTGTTTCCAGGGTTGTTTGTATTGTTGGAGTGCGGGGCGGGGGTTAGAAGTAGAAGAGACTGAAACATAGGGAAAATACTACTTATAAAAATGCACAGCTCTACAGAAAAGCACAGTTTAGCATGCAGAAGTTCAGTGCTGTGTTCCCAGCTTCAGAAAAGCTTTCTGTAATTCCCGTTCCCTGCACCCACCCACCCCATAAAGAGGGTAACCATGTGTTCGGAAAAAAAAAAAAAAAAAAAAAAGTTGAACGATTAAGATACCTTTAAAACAATGGTGCTGTGGATTGGACAGCTGCTCTTTCGTAACTGCCGCAGGGCGACTCTGGCACGGATTGCTCAGAGACGCCAAGAGCCAGGTCCTGGCCGCAGGGCAAAAGCTCCAGAGCTGGACTCCTGCCTAGTCCTGCCCACTCGCCACCCGTGGCAGCGCAGTTTGTCTTCTCTCCTGCCTGCGCTCGCATTCAGGGGGAGCTGGTGGTGGCTGATGCTCCCGCAGGCTGCATGGGTTCTGGTGAGTGCGTGCACCTAAATGTTAAAGGCTTACGGGATGTTCTGTTGTATCTTCTCCTCGTGGATTATGGCTTACGGGATGCTTTGTTGTATCTTCTTATTGTGGGTTGTCGGGTGATGTTTAAAAACTCATAGAGTTTGATCACAAGGCAATAGCATTTGTATTTGAAGGTGGGGTGGAGGGTTGTGAAGTTACTTTGAGCTTCAGATTTCCTTGATGAACAGCAGCTAAACAGAAATGAAGCTGCTAGTTGCAAACGCTCAGCTGTTTTCCATTTAGTCTCTTCATTTGGGGTTCAGTGACATAGATGTGTAAGGGTTCAGCCTGCCTTGTTAGCAAATATTTTCATAATCCTGGCTGCTATTTCCCAAACGTATTTTTCAAAGTGGCTCACTATGGTGTTTGCTTAGCAGGGGAGGAATTTCAGTATCACCATGTAGAGCTGCTTCTTCCATTCCCCTATTTATTTAAATAGCAAAAGATTCGCATATTTGAATAGGGTTTTTTTGTCACTGAGTAGAGACCAAAGAGTCCAATTAAACTAAAGAGGTGTGTTGACTAAGCTGAGGGAACTGGGGTTGTTTAGCCTGGAGAAAAGGAGGCTGAGGGGAGACCTCATCGCTCTCTACAACTCCCTGAAAGGAGGTTGTAGCGAGGTGGGGGTCGGTCTCTTCTCCCAGGTAACAAGCGATAGGACAAGAGGAAACGGCCTCAAGTTGTGCCAGGGGAGGTTTAGATTGGACGTGAGGAAAAACTTCTTTACTGAAGGAGTGGTTAAACATTGGAAGAGGCTGGCCCGGGGAGGGGGGGGGGCCCCCTCCCCGGGGGGTTTTTAAAGAAGTGT